CTGTCTCTTGCCTCTTCCCGTTAAAAGATGGAAAGGAACAAGCAAGAGAAGGAGAAACATGACCTCTTCAGGTAAGAAAGTCAAAAATCAAAACTGGCATCCACCCCAGATATCCCACCACCACCACCTCCAGGACTGATCTCAAATGCCTCAGTCAGGTAACAACAGTGTCAGTACATAACACTCATCATGATGAGTTGAGTTGGCAGTTGGAAAACAGCTCATGGGAAATACTTAAAGAAAACCCAAAAAACAAAACCAAACAACAAAACCAACAATCAAAACCACACCACTAAGTCACATATGTCACAGATGCCAAGCTAATAAATGCACCCTCCTCTGCAAGGTAAAAACAATGCCAGCCTAAAACCTCAGAATACAGAACAAACCCAGCAGGTCCAGGACAACCACACAGCAAAGCAAGCACTCACTGAGAAAGACAAGCACCCCACTCAGCTGCCTCTGCAGTGGGCAGGCAAGAGAAGGCAAGGGGATGCAAGAGCAGTGCTCACACACCAAACAATACAAAATGAGCAACATCCTTCCTATTTCACCGCCAGCATCTTACTCCATCATTTGTGCAGCAACATGAGCCGCTTCTTACCATTTTTTGGTGCACTCGACCATCAGTTCCTGGTAAGAGGCCACAAACTGGAACTTAGATGCATGTTTCCCAACACGCTGCAGCCTTTTCCAAACTGAAGCCATAGTGGGGAAAAATACCAGTCCTCTTACACAATAGCAAGTCTGTGAATACCAATGTAGGTTTAAGAGAGCGTGTGTGCTTGATACTAGCAGGTTTATATACAGATACAGTAAAAACAGTATGTGAGGAACGTGATAGGATGTCTACAATTCATATTCTGCCTCTCCCTTCTTCACGGTAAATCCCAGTCCAGCTGAATGGCTCATCACTGGCCAGGAGCAGCAAGCAATAGCAGGAGACAGGTAATCAAAAGGCAGTTCTCTCACAGAATCACCATTCCTCGCACAGTAGATGAAGTGAAGACTGCAGGACTAGAAGACAAGACAGAGAGAGAAAGCACTAGTTAATATACTCAACACTACAGTGCTACAATTGCACGTGACCTCGTACCTTCCAAACAACTACAGTAAACTACAAAAACATACCCCCTTCCTGTTATCAAGCCCCCCACCCCTCCAATTAAATAAATAAATAAGAATGTTGCAGCAATTTCAGGAATGCAAACCACGAGACTGTTTGGAAACATATCAACATGTCCTTTTATCAGCACCATCATAATTGGCAACAACAACAAAAAAGGGCAGGTCAGGGCCACACCAGATCCTCATGAAGCATCTCCCTACGAAGCATCTCCGGGAAGCAATGCAAAGTGGCTGAGGTGCTGCCAATATGCACCCAGAGGGAGGGACACAGGGAGATGAAGTTCTTTGTCTTGATGACAAAAGGTGTAACAGTTGTTTCCTCTCTTACACATACACACTCTTCCCGTTCCCATTTCTCTGTCCAAGGAGAAGGACCAGCCAAGAAGCCGGTAAGGGAGTGTTACTATTCAAATGCCCGTGCCAGGGTGAAGAGGAGGATGAAAGAGGAAGGGGCATCTCCCGAGTCTTGGCTACTACCCAGGATTCCCCATCTTCCTCGCTGCATCATATTGAAATTGAAACGTCTCCCCATCCCGCACGGAGAAATGGTCCATCAGGGAGGTAAAAAGCGAGAGGAGAAACCCAGGTGGGTCTCTTCCCTCGAAAGGAAAGCAGCATCTCTGCCGGGTGCAGGGGGAAACAGCCTCTTCATTAGGAATACAGAGAAGCAAAAGCTGGCCGCACCTGGCGAGAAGGCAGGGTAGGCAGGATGGCATCAAAGCTGGCGAGGAGGATACCTGGAGCAGAACGTCCCCCTGCGGCGGGGGAAAGGTGGTCCCCACGGAGCCGCGGGGCGAGGAGCGCCCAGCCCGTGTCACCTCCGCGCCCAGCCCGCCGGGGCAGCGCCCCCCGCCCTCGGCCGGGAGCCGCAGAAGGTTTAAAAAAATGAAAAAACGCCAACGGGCGGCGAGCAAGGCACGGAGGGGAACGGGCGGCCCCGGGCGCGGCGCGGGCGGGTCCCCGTGCGCGGCACTCACCTGCCGCCGGCTCCTCGCGGGCGGCCCCGCCGGGCGGGCGCGCTGGCACCACACGGCAGCCGAGCCCCGGCGCTGCCGCTGCCCATCACTGCGGCAGCCCCACCGGCGGCGGCGGCAGCGCCCCGCGGCTGCCCCCGTCCTGCCGCAGCCCCATGGCGAGCCCCGGACACGCAGAGCGCGGCTCAAGCCCGCGCCTCACGCCGCCACCATCGCCCTCCTGCAGGCGCTGCGCCGCGCCGCGCCCCGGCCCGCCGCTCGCACCGCCCCCGCCGCCCGCCCCCAACGCGCCATTGGCCGCGCCGCGGAGCCGCAGGGCCTCATTGGGCATCGCCCCTGTCAATCACCTGCGCTCCAGAGGGGCAGCGGAGCGGGGGGGCGATGAGCGCAGACGGGGCTCGCAGGGCCTCGCCTCCCGCCCACAGCCCCGTCTTTTTTCTGATTTGCCGCGTGCCTCGAGGGGGCGGGGCTTCTTGTGAGGAGCAGCCACACGATAGGTGGGCGCGGCCGCCCGTCAGCGCGAGAGCGCCCGGCGATTGGCGGCGGCGCTTCCTAAAGCGGCAGCGGGGCTGTCAGGGCTGGGCTGGGGTCTCGCGCGGCCCCCAGGACCCGCCGCCCCGGGGCCGGGGAGGGACGCCCAGACACCGCCCGTGAGGTGGGCGCGGGGCGGCTGGAGGGAGCGAGCGAGCGAGCGGCCGCGGGAGGCGGATGGAAGCGGCGGGCGGGGCGGAGGAGCCACGGCGAGGGACAGTCCCCGCGCCGGGCCCGCCCTGAGGAGGGGTCGGGCCGAGCGCCAGGCCCAGCCCGAGTCCCGCAGCGCAGGCCCCCGTGCGGGAGGGGCTCCGGAGTTCGCGTGGGGCCGGGAAGTTGGTGGGAATGAAATTCCGCGGGCAGGATGATGTTTTCTTTGCCGGTTTGACCGGCGTGCGCAGAGCGGCGTCCAGGCGCTGGGGGCTGGATGTGCTGCTCAGGTCTGTGTAAAAGTGGCTGCGAGGGAGCGCGAGGGGGGCGATCCTGGTGGGATGTGGCTGTGAATTCCCCATAGCCAGGCTGGCTGAATGTTTCTCCCACCGTGCAGTGTCGCTGAGGTGGTGTCGGGAGCCAGATGTAAACGCTCGGTGCTAGGTTCTAGCATTGATCTGATATTTAAACGGAGGCATATTCTGTTTCACGGAGAAAGTGCCACGCTGCTCGCTGCCCACGTGCCTCCTGGACACGCGTAGGCGTGTGTTTAAGTTCTGGATCCCAAAGCGCCATTTGCCATGATTCTGAAATTCACTGAATCTCAGAGTCAGGGTGAGGTGGTTGTGTGATCTGTGGGAGCTAATCCCAAACCTATCAGCCGGCCAAATCAGAAACTAAGCCATCTATCGAGTGGAAGCACAGGGAAATATGGAAGATAATGCAGTAGAGCTCTGAGAGCAGCTGTGAAATCGAAGCCTCGGGGCTTTGCAGTCCTCCTCTGTGTTCTTTTCCATGACAAACCAAATGGAGTCCAAGCCTGATCCACGGACTGGGAAGCTCCTTATCCCAGTGCTTCCCTCCTTTCTCCTAAGCTGCCTCTGACTGTGCTGCCACATCGCAGAGGCTGCCAGCATTTAGTGGCTGGAGTGAAAGGAGAGAAAGATTGACTGTGTGGATGGCCACAGGCCTAAGCTGAACTAAGTTACTTCGGAGAGAGTGAATATTTGGGCTATTGAAAACGTCAGCCCTTTGCTTATAGCGTGTCAGTCTTCAGTCCTTACCCGAGCTGCCTGGGAAAGGCAGTGATTCTCCTTTTTCTAAAGTGGTGCACTGGAAATGTTACAGGCAGTTGTACTACTCATACAGAGTTTCTCGGAAATGCTCTTTTTCCAGAATAGTTCTGAAGATTTTGCACATTTATCTTAACGTTTCTGTCCCAGTTTCGCAGCTGGTCTGTACACAGAGTAATTCCAACACACTTGAGGGAGACATCCACTGATTAAATGCAGATCACCTGCTTAGGATTTGAGAAATGAGGCCAGGATTTCCAGAGCACATCAGACTGAAAACATGCAGTGTGGAGCACACACATGCTTGATTTTGACTTGGAAAATACCAGATGGAAAACTGGCAGTTGTGGATCAAACAAGGTAATATGAAATTCCAGTGGACCTGAGGAGACCCCTAGTTTCTCATACTAGGGAAATGTCCAGTAGTCAGTTGTGCTGATTTTATTTCAAAACTTGTCTTTATTCTGATATATTACCAAAAGTTAATCCATAAGTTTCTCTGATTTATCTCCTAAATATCGTGCAGCACTCAGGCTAATTCCTAAGACATATTTTTGACCAAGATCTTATTTTCCTCAAACTGAGATAGACATTTTCTGTCCTGTGGAATAAATGCAGAAGATCTGATGGTTTGTTCAGTGACTTGTGTTTCAAACCTCATTATTTATTAACATTTTCCATTTCCTTCATAGCTTTTGGATTTGAGTTACACCAGGCCTGGGAGGTACATGGCATAAGGCTGCTTTTTCCTTTGTGGCATGGGGAGAAATATAACACAGGCAATTATCCTACAAATTATCCATTTATTTTACAATTTTTAAGACTAGCACTCCTCAGTTCTTGCAATTTTGGGGAAAGCTTTAGGAGATTTCAAAGGGTGTGAAGAATTACTGTGGAAGGAAGGGCAAGATCTTCAGCTGGAGGTTGAAAGCTAGAGGCCACCACAGCATTATGAGGTTACTGGACTGAGCCTCATACCAGACCAACTCAAAAGCTCGTGTGACTTCTGTTGGCAGCTCACAGCCCAAAGGACCCAATAAATGGCAAAAAGGGATTAGCAAGGGCATAGATGAAGAACCCCATACCCCTTCCTTGGGTCAGAGCACTCAGATGAGTCAGCAAGGAACCTCCCTGTTGACTTCATTCCTACATTGCAAAGATCTCCTGACTGGTCCTGCCAGCCACAAGCCTGGTTTGTGCCAGTGACCCAGCTCAAACCATAGCTCAGCTCCAGAGGGTGGCTCAGGATCTGAGCCGAGGTCTAGGGAAACTGTCACATTTTTACTTAATTCAATATTATGAGCTTGATGGTGAAAACAAGCACAGCTAATTACACCAAAGTACCCAATGCTCACCTTTAAGGTCAGTACCTGAGTGAACAACTCTTCTGTGACTCCCAGAAGGGTCCTTCTGATTATGAAAAAAATGATGCATCATTTTATGTACAGTGTCAAATACCTTCTCTTCTGCAAGCAGGAAAAATAGTCACTTGATGAATAGGTAGATGCTGGTTTATTGTTTAAAAATACATAATGTGTATGTCACAATCTACTGAAACCATATTCCTGTCAAATCTGGTGCTTTCCTTGCCTATGGAAGGACAGCCAAGGAAGTGTATTTGTATATATTTGAGCATGCTCTCATCTGTGTTGTTCTGGAAATGGCATGGAACAGGATGCTGAGAGCTGTTCAAACTGGGAAGTTGGCAGTGCTGACCAGGGATTCCCCAGAGCAACCATACCAGGTTCTTTATAAGCAGCTGGTTCCACCAAGGACACTTATCCTATCCAAAAACATACTTATGCTCTGTGGCTCCTCTTTCCCCCCTGCTGTGCTGACACTGAACCATCCAAACTCCTTCACAATCTCCACAGAAATCCCCATGTATTATTTTTTTCCTGGATTTTGCCTCCTGCTCTCTGGCTTTGGCCTGATGGGGGGAGATTTCAGTCCTCCTGGTCCAAGTAGAGAGATGAACTATGCTCTATTGCTGTTATTCCCTGTCAAGTTTTAAAGCTACACAGCCTCTCCCTTATCCTTCAACGCCTCATCATCAGCATGACTAAGGACAGGTTGTTCACTAATAAAGAAATGACCTTTGCTAGGAATAGCTGTCATAAATCTCCCTTTCCTTGTCCCTCTGTACATGAGCCTGCAGAAATGTCACTGAGGGAATCAACTAATTGGATTATGTCAAATTTGCAAGAACATTCCTCTTTCTGAGGCGATGGGCTGCGTACTTGAGGTTACCCACATCTGCCACCTTTTAAATGTGTTTGGATTTCTAGATCCCATCAAACCTTTGATCCCATAAATAAGGTAGTGGAAAATATGCACTGACCTCAGTAATAAGTGTAAGTACCATCCTAGTCCCCAACACATGTCCCTACCTGATGCTTGACCCTGTAACATTCAGTTCTGTAACAAGTCATGCTACATTTTATGGTAGCACACTTGCCTGCTCTTTTTCTTTGTTTCTTCACATCCCAACATTAATTTTTATATATATATATATATTCACAAAAAAAATCATAACAGTATACGTAGCAAAACATTTTTTTAATCCTCCCTTTGTTTCTTGTTTGTTGCTGGAAAAACTCCACTCAGATGTCTTTTTACGTGATCTGGTAACACCCAACAGCCATTCTGTATTGGAGGGAATAATGTTTTGAATATTCCCTCTGCTAAATATCAGTGACAATTGAAAGGGTGCAGGTGTGTGTGTGGAATACCCCATTTTATTTGAGCAATGCAAGCTTGACTTTGACACTGACAGCTGAGAAAAGGCGATTCCCACATTGCAGAATCAGACAGCCCAGTTCCTATCATAGCCTGGAACGAAAGCATATCATTTCAGCAATACCCCCAGCTGTGCTTAAGGCATAAAAACATCACCATTTGTTCTTGCCTTACAAACAAAAGAAGCAGATTTTAGGTTGTGCTCTGGCGGGCTTGTGCTTTGTTAACACTGGCGGGGGCTGAGGGAGGCAGCCCAGCCTGGTTCTTGCCTATGGAACAGCTCCTGTGTGCAGCATTCCCAGCCCAATGTGTGGAGCTGTGTACAGGCACCCACCCTGTTAAACCTCTGCTGCCAAGGGGAATCTGCAGAGACAGGGGTTGGGGTACTTCACCAGCACCTCTGTTTTATGGATTGTTCTCCCATTCTCTTGCTGTGGCTGGAGCTCACACTTGTATGTGGTGAGCCCCTGCTTGTGCTTCAGCCAGGCAGTGAGTGCCTCCCCTCCAGGCTCTGTGCCAGAAGGAGTACCCAAAAGGCCTGTCCCCTGAGTGGCAGCCTCATGTCACAGCCCCTTTGCTCTCCTGTGACCGACTTTGTTCTGCCACCCCAGAGGGACCAGGTAATCCCTGCCCTGCCCCTCTTAACCCCACTGCCCAAAATCTTGTAGGCAAAGTCAAGCAGGGTGGTTCAAACAGAGCAGATGAAAAACATCCTCACCTGTCTTTCCATTATCTCCCCTCTTGTCTGGCTGACATTCTTCCCAAACCACTCAGCACTACGGGGCATGTTGTATTTATGTGCAGACGAGGTCAAGGACAGGAGTCACATTCCTGAAATGCAGAAGTCTCAGTGCAGTCCAGCCTGTGGAATCAAGACCAAAGATGGGGCACTGGTGGTGGAAACCCAACACTTTAGACAGTATTTGCCTGCTCTGGATCAGAACACTGGATCAGTGCTGCTTTCTCCAAGTTTATTATCAACTCCCCTGTTAGTCAGCTTACAATGGTCTGAATGAGTTTTGTCATAGCCCTTTGATACCCATGAAATTGTGTACACCTCTTAGTGGCCCTAGTTACCCTCTTCTCAAAAAAAAAAAAAAATTAAAAAAAATAAAAAAAGAAGCAGGCAGTACTTTGTCCATAAATAACAACTTTCAATCTTTTATCATGCTTAGTGTCTCCTGTGCCCTTTCCAGTTCTTCAATGCCCTTCCTGTGTGGTCTCCCTAGCCTTTTTACAGAGTATAATTATGCTTGTATAGGACATCCTGCAGCACTAATGAGGGCAAAGAATGCCTTTCTCCCTCTCTTTTTAAAACAAACAGCACACAATGTGGCCAGCAGGATAGGGCAATGACCATCCCCCTGTACTTGGGCACTTCACGAGGCCACACCTTGAGTCCTGTGTTCAGTTTGGGCCCCTCAGGACAAGAAAGACGTTGAGGTGCTGGAGCGTGTCCAGAGAAAGGCAAAAGAGCTGGTGAAGGGTCTAGACAAGTCTGATAAGGAGCAGCTGAGGCAGCTGAGGGGGTTCAGCCTGAGAAAAAGAGGCTCAGGGGGGAGGGAGCCTGGAGGGGTTGTGTAGATGTGGCCCTTGGGGACATGATTTAGTGATGGGGGGCTCGGCAGTGCTGGGTTGACCACTGGACTTGATGATCTTAAATGTCTTTTCCAACCTAAATGATTCTATGATTCTATTATTTATTACCAAATAATCCATGCTTGTTAATTTAAGATGCCCTTCATAAACAATTACCTTGATTCTCTGGAACCGTTTGCTTTTTCTCATTGAGTTTTTTTTTCTTTCAATTTCTACAATTCTTTTCGACTTTAAACATGACCTTTTTTAATAAGTAATTTTTTTCTTAAGCTAATTGCTGCTACACAGACCACCACCAATGCTCTGTAGACACAGCTGAAAGTGAAAGGGCCAAACTTTATACAAGATAAAGACAGGGAGCAACCTATGGCTAGGATTTGGAACAAGCATCTCAGAGAGGTATGGCAGCACAAGTGAAAACACAAGACATTTTCTCCACAGACAAGAGGTTAAGAACAGAAAGACCCTTTTCTAAGAGTTACGGAAGAAAATAAGAGATGGAGCAAGTTGAGGGGAAGACTTGCTTTCTAGCTCCCATACCCATTCTGCATGACCCTGGCTATGTCAAATCTCTGCTTAACCAGCTGTAGATGTTTCGTGGAGGCATCCAAGGAAACTGCAGATTCAGTGGTGGAAAGGTCAAGGAGTGAAGGTGGTACAGCCCATACTTTTTTTTCTACTGTGATCCCATTTATCAGAAAATCAGTAGCTGGACATGCAATCAGAATAACGAGCTGGAAAAATGTAAAGCCTTTTACCTGTATTTCCGTAACCACCAGAGAAATCATAAAATGGAACACAGCTGTCTCTAAAGATTATGCAGGAAACTCCTCTTTGCCCAAATATAATATATGTCACCTTTAAAGAGAATGCCTGGTTAACTTTGGATCTACACCATCGGTCATTCATGCAGCTCATCAGTAACAGGGGTATGCTTCCTTGGAATACAGGCATTAGCAATGCACAGGCCACCATAGATCAAATCTGAGGCCTTCTTGGAAGCCAGTCGAGAAGCAATTACCTTGCAGATGTGATAAGACAATCTATTAGACAATCTATTATGCAAAACCATGTTCCTACCAGGCTAAGAGGAAATTTGGAGCTAACAACTTGTATAACCAGAATCCCAAACATTACACAATGGGACATTAGTGAATACTTGATGAAAAGTACCTCAAATCACAGAGTGGAAATATATATGTGTGGTATGGCCTTCATCCTGCAGAAGATCTACAGTTACCACAGCTGAAAGCATCTACTCATGTATGCAAGACACGCAAGTGGACAAGTGTTTGCAGTAATGGTGTTGGGCAGGTGTGAGATGGTGTGGAAAAACTCAGTTTTGAAAGGACAAGCAATTAATTCTGTTGTAAAACTGACTGCAAAGTTTCCTGCTCCTACTTTTAATATCTCAGCAGCCACACAGCTTAGACAAATACCTCTAGTTAATCTGGAAATTAAACTACATAATCACAGCCAAGTTAGATAATTCCAGACTAAGAAACTACTCTTCAACATGCCCAGATTAACCTATAGGGATTTAAATGGTGTTGCAAGTTATTTTTAACTGAGTTATCACTAATCTCCCTATATGCTTTTTAGACTGTATAAAGTCACACTGTCAGAAAACATGTTAGCTTCCAAAAATAAAAGAGCTGACCACAAATGGGGTGTAGGACTCATTTGCCAGATCACGGTGGTGTTTGGGCTCCTCCAGTTTGCCCCACTTTACAACCTCCCTTCTGCTAAATTCCTCTGCACAAGCTATGGAGGACATGTAGCCTTATGGACCATGTATCCCTATGCTAGATTCCTCAGTGAGTCCCAGGCTGAAGAGGAGACTGCTCAGTGTAGATATTTTTCATCCACAGTCTTGGAATCTTACTGACTTTTCACATGTGCCTAGAAGGAGTGACTGCTTTGCCAGCCCTGTAGAGGGACAATGAGGGGAAAAAAAAAAGGAAATCTCTAGTTTGGGCCACTTGCTAACTGCAGCTCAGTGACACACTAGTGCCTGGGGCCACTTTGAATCCCTAGGTTTGAAATTAAAGATCTAGGGGTATAAATGGGTTTCTCGCCAGTAAAAACAGTAGAGTCCCAAAACCCCAGCAAATGTGCTCCCAGCCCAGGGCAAGTGCTGGGAACAATTCCATTGCTGCACTTAAAGATGCAACCTAATCAATCACCAAGATACCTTCCTTTCATCCCTAACCAGAGCTGCAGAGCTCAGCAAAAGGACCTGCACAACGACAGCACGAGGCTGGTAAAGGCACCTCAGAATCTCTCTTCCTGGCAAAAATTTCTGTATCAGCCAAGCTAGCAAAATCTGTCTGTTTTGGGAAACAACGGATACGTCAAACATTCTGGCAAAGCCCAGGAGAAATGACAGTTCAATGATGTTGAAAAGAAAATTATCAGAGAGAGATTAGTTTGTCTGACAGTATGTCTTTATGCTCTCCACTGAAGAAGAACAAGAGTCCTTTCATGCATATTGAATTTACTTCTGGTGCGAGTCAACCTCTGTCAGTAGGGCTGTAAGTGCTGCCGGTTTAGAAAAATGGGTGATCGCTGCAACCTGGCACCTGCTCCCTGCACACCCCAGAGCCCAGAGCTTTCCAGCCACTTACTCAGCTGCAAGCAATGCTTGTTTTACACCAAAGCGTCATGGGTTTGGCTGCAGCATCCAGAACACTGCACTATCTATTAAAACATTTGCCCAAGTAGGCAGACGGTACAGGGGGTCTGCAGGCCATGGAAACCCCAGACTCCAGTTATGAAGCTAAAAGAGGTAAGGGAGCAAATGGTGCCTGTTAACAGGAGTGGCCATCCCAGCTCATTTCTCACACAACTTTGCAGGAGAATTACCCTGCACTGCCGATTGTCTGGTGCCATCTCTCTCTACAAGATACAACAAAATTTTACCACTGTTTTGCCACAGCCATCCCTCAGATGCTGTGGTGTTGCAGCTTGTGCAGAAGCAATAATCCCTGAACAGATGGAGAATTACACCACCACTGCCCTCCGGAGAGTCTTTGCAGTTTGCAGATGTGTATCACACTCACCATCCATTCTCCTCCCAAGTCTAAGATATCCATGAGCTAAAAGCTTGGATACAAAGTAATGCCTGGAAAGTTTCGGGTTCTTTTTTGTATACTGATAAGATGCTCAACACAAATGACAATGGTATGAATTTTGTCTCAGGCTCCTGCTATTCTGCTCACCATTCTGGCAGCCCAAAGGTGGCAACAACCCAACTGAACTCATAGGTTATGTCTTCCCTGGGAGCAGGCAGAACACATGAAGAGGTAGGAATGGTGTGTCATTTCCCAGCTGTGACACAGATGGGGACGAGGACAGAGTAGCTGGGTGACTGGTGTAGCCTAGCATGGCAGGAGTTCCTCTTTGGAGACTGCAGCATTTGAAATCCCATAGAATAATCCTGCTGCACCCCTCTGCTGGGGCTCAGGAGTCCCACTCTGCTGGTGCCCACTGCAGCAGCAACAGCTCCTAATTGCTCAGGACAGTGAAGACCTTCCATCACAGGGTTTTCTTTTGCCAGCCTCTTAGTTGAGAAGGAAAACTGCATAGGTAGTAAAACTGCTCAACTCACAGTTACATGCTCCTATTGTTTATTTAAAGCATTGCCCAAACTACTTATCTTCCCTAGTATGAATCTTAGTACAGCTGAACTGAGTTTAGCAAATCTTCCCACCTAAAAGAAGAACTTGAAACTGTCACGAAAGTAGAGGTGAAAAGTTTGGTTAAAATACAAGAAACCAAACAAAGAGGGTCTGGCATCTGGCAACAACAATAACTGTCGGTGCCCTTCAGCTTGCTTTACCCACTACATCAGACAATGCTGACCTCATTGCTCACCACAAAATTGTGATGCCTTCCTCAGTCCAGGGCAGCATCACCTCAGCGAGACTAAAATAAAACCCACTGAAAGGCTTTATATAATACCACGGCTACAAGATCTCTAATGTAGTTTTCTTATTGGAGCAAGAGCCAAGTACAGCTTAAATTCATTAGCTAATGGCCTGTGACAATGAAGGACAAAGACAATTATTATGCACATTTCCCAGCTGATTGTTTCTGTGTGAAGAAAATGCAACAAATTATTGTTCTCCTGTATTAATGCACCATAAAGGATTACTATCATATCAATTTCAAAAAATCCCTATCCCTTTCAAAATGCAGACAAATGCCAGATAAATTTGATTTTTATAGATGAAAGCTTGGCAGAAAAGTCAAGATTTCATTAGGGCCATGGACAATCACATTACATTTTATATGATATGAGGACTTCACTACTAAATCAGGAAATTGATCTCAGGGCATTTTTTTCTACTGAAGACTTATCAATTCCCTGAGTATCTCTCAGGTATCTCAAACACTTATCCTTGGATATAATAGTCAGAGGCATTCCTAATAGCTGGGTTTTTTAATAGAAAAGTCAGAAAAGAAATACAACATAAAATCATAAAATCATGAAGGTTGGAAAAGATCTCCAAGATCACTGAGTCCAACCTTTGACCGATGACCACCTTGTCAACTAGACCATGGCACTGAGTGCCACATCCAGTCATTGGTTATTGTGTTCAGTAAGGCACTTTGCCTTATTGAAACTCATACCATCGGCCTTGGCCCATTGGACCAGCCCGTCCAGATCCCTCTGCAGAGCCTTCCTGCTCTCCAGTAGATCAGCACTCCCACTCAACTTAGTGTCATCTGTGAACCGACTGAGGGTGCACTCGATGCTCTCATCCACATCATCAGTAAAGATATTAAGCAATCAATAAAGACATTAAAAGGACTGGGCCCAACACAGATCCCTGGGGACACCACTAGTGACCAAACACCAACTGGATGCAGCAGCATTCACCACCACGCTCTGGGCTCAACCATCCATCCAGTTCTTAACCTGTACAAGCCATGGGCTGCAGCTTCTCCAGCAGAATGCTGTGAGAGACACTGTCAAAGGCTTTGCTGAATTCCAGGCAGAAAACACCAACAGCCTTTCGCTCATTCACTAGGAGGGTCACCTGGTCATAAAAGGAGATCAGGTTGGTCAAGCAAGACCTGCCTTTCCTAAACCTGTGCTGGCTGGTGCTGTTCCTCTGCTTGTCCTGTATGTGCTGCGTGATCACACTCAAGATAATCTGTTCCATAACCTTGCTGGACACTGAGGTCAGCCTGATAGGCATGTAGTTCCTTGGATCCTCCTTCCAACTCTTCTTGTGGATGGGCATCACACTGGCCAACTTTCAGTCAACTGGGACCTCCCTGGTTAGCCAGGACTGGTAGTAAATGACAGAGCAGGGCTTGGCCGGCTCTTCCACCAGCTCCCTCAGTACCCTCCATGTAAATCCCATCCTGCCCAATGGGCTTGTGTCTAAGTGGCTCAGCAGGTCACTAACTACCTCCTCCTGGATTACAGGGGGTCTATTCTGCTCCCCATCCCTGTCTACCAGCTCAGGGGACCAGTTGCCCTGAGGATAACCAACCTTTCTGTTAAAGACTGAGGCAAAGAAGGCATTAAGTACCTCAGCCTTTTCCTCATCCTTGGTAACAATATTCCCCCCCTCATCCAATAAAGAATGAAAATTGTCATTGGCCCTCCTTTTGTTGTTAATGTATTTATAAAAACACTTCTTATTATCTTTCACAGTGGTGGCCAGATTAAGTTCTAGCTGAGCTGCTGCCTTTCTAATTTTCTTTCTACCTGACTTAGCAACATCCTTGTACTTTTCTTGAGTTGCCTGCCCCTTCTTCCAAAGGTCATAAACTCTTTTTTTTTTTACTGAGTTCCTCCAAAAGCTCCCTTTTCAGCCAGGCTGATCTTCTTCCCTGACGATTCATCTTTTAGCACATAGGAACAGTCTGCTCCTGCACCTTTAAGATCTTCTTTAAGTATGTCCAGCCTTCCTGGACTCTTTCAGAGAGACCCAGGGGACTCTCTGAACCAGTGTCTTGAACAAGCAAAAGTCTGCCCTCTGGAAGCCCAAGGCAGAGGTTTTGTTGACCCCCTTCCTTATTTCAAGAATTGAAAACTAAGAATTGAAAACTATCATTTCATGGTCACTGTCCCAAGACAGCCTTCAACCACCACATCTCCCACTGGACCTTCTCTGTTTGTAACAGCTGTGACAGAAATTCTCTTCCACACACTCCTAGACTGCCTCCTCTGCTGTGTTGAGTTTCCAGCAGACATCCATCAAGTTAAAGTCTCCCACATGGACAAGGGCTAGTAATCATGAAATATCAGCATGATGTTTATGTATACGGAATCTTAAAGATGAGTGAAAGCCTCCTTCCTCTCTCAGTACCAGCTGTTGGTACTTTTCTGTAACACCAAGCAAGCTTTGCAAAGGAGCACAAAAGGCCTGAGTTTAGGCACAGTATTTTCTGAAATCACGTACTCTGGTAAGCATCCACCCATTGTTCTCAGAGACCATGCAAGACTACTCAGAAGCCCAAGTGGAGCAGCAACCCAACCCATCCTCCTTCCCCTCTGTACTCACTCGCAGAGTGTCACTCAAGGCGTCCCAGTTCCTCTGGAGTTAACGGGTCATTCACACAGGGCTTGACAAAAACCCAAACTTACTTATCCTCTAGTGACAAGTGTGGGCAGAAACCCTCCTTCAGCGAGGGCTTTGTAATCCATCCTGACACCAAAAAAAGCAGAGGGTGTATTCTGGTGTCCCAGCATGGCCCAGGACCTGCCATTACAGCTTGTCCAAGGGCTTTGATGTGTGCATTGCAAGGTTTTACGATGTTGTTTCCCCCACAGTTCCACAAACCCGCCTTTGTACGTTTTCTCTTTGCAGCTGACACTTGTAACATAAGCCACTGAGGCTGTAATAAAATATGCAACATTAACCATATATATGGAGCGTTACAGTCTGTGAAATTCAATGTCATTTTTTAAAAGTCATAAAAACATTATCTGATTTCCAGTAACCCCCCAGGAGATTCAGGAATATGTTTATACACTAAAATGTCAAAATCATAAAATGCCTGCTTTTATACTATTTACTTTGCGTGGTGGTGAAGTAGTTATTACACGCCATTTCATAAATATAGTGACTCAGAAATAATTAGTGTGCTGAATAACAAGCTTTCCACTATAATACAGCATAATACAGTACCATACATTTTAAATCCCTGATTTTCATGAAGTACTTGCACAGTCTAGCTTAAATAGTACAAATAAATTGAACCTCTGGGGGGGGAAAAGCAATGCTGCTGTTGGGTTTTGTTTTCTTCTCCTTTCAAGGGAGGTACACTGATAGTCACGATGGCAGGGTTGAGGCAACGAGCAGCAGTAACTGCATTTCCCAAAGGGCAGGGACAAAAGAGGCAGCACATCTCACTGTTATGACACAAGGGAGAGGTTCCAAGAGAGTATCACGTTAGCAAGATTAAAATTAACACACACCCTGAACAAAATCCTTCTTTGAAGGAAGGAGATGATTTAAAATTGCTTGTAATTAAGGGAGAAACAGCACTGCACACAGCCTTGCTCTAGCCAAGAAGTCTTCCAGATTTTCACTGCTCAGCTTGTAATACTCCTACTTACTATTTTTTTTAAACACATAGTGGATTTTATTGCCTTTTTTAGATATTAATATGCAACCAATTATAAATTGTGAGTTACAGCACTGGATAATTTCCCTTCAAGAATGCTAAGCAGATTCTGCTCTGTATCAGCCCATGTGACAGCACAGCAACTACCATCCCCTCTGACTTTTTTTAGCAGCAATTCCTAAACAGATGCTCAGCAGGAAAACTGGAGCAAACCCTATCTTAGGACCTCCTTGTGTTGCTGGTTTTTAACTTGCTGGATGATCTGCTTAAAAATAAAGGAAAATTTAGGATTTAACTCAAATTCTCAGGAGTAGAGATTCAGATGAATAATAGGAAATAACAATTATCATTTATTACTTATCTTGGAGGTGCTTCCCTCGGTTTCTCTCACTGTCTGCTGTTGTACTGGCACCACATTCCAAGTTTCTTCTTCAGGCCTGTCAGAGGGGAGAGTGGAAATTTTAAGGTTAAAAAAAAGAAAAGGAAAATAGAGAAGGCAGTGTGAACTTTGATTTCATGCAGATGCAATGCACATCACACAACAGCACTGTCCCTGTGGTGCAGTACCCATTGACAATGTGTTAGAGCACCCAGTTGCTGGAAGTTTTGACTGCACAAAAGTGCCCTCTTCCCTTTCTTTATTTTTCCTGGGATAAAGTACTTGCAATACAACTACCCTCCCACTGAGCAAAGGTATAGTTATTGATAATTGTTGATGTTCATCTGTGTAAGCATTAACCACGCTAGTTGGGCCAAAACAAACCTTAACACAGCTGGCTTTGTCTCCACCAAGCCCAAGCAGCAAGTGCTATTCCCGAATTTGAATATGAGTATGGATCCAGCAAACAGACTATGCTGAGATATGCAACTATGGATGAGGATGCAGGTTCAGTATCACTATTTATGCATGCTTTACACCTCTTTTCTGTAAAAAAGTCCCTTCACCATGTGGGAAAATACTTCTCTACACTGAAACAGAAAAAATGCTGAGACCAGGCTGTACTTTTTATTTTTTTACCATAATCACAGGACTCTGCTTTGGTGGGTGTCAGATTTTGGTTTTGGCTGAGGTAGTGTAATGCATAAGAACCCTCCACAGTAATGCAAGCTCAGACATAGAACACCGAGCTGAGGCCAGAGCTGTGATTTCTAATTGTCTTTGCCCAGAAACTGCACTCAGCATTTGTAATCCTTAATAGGGAGTTTCAAAACAGCCTCCAATATTTGTGAAACGTACAGCTGGCTTTGTGTGCTGCCATGTCAGGGGGGTTTAGGACACTCCAGTAATCTTGGTGTGCTGCTTTGTGGTTTTCAGCAGGATGTTGGCATGTTCTTTCCACACTGGCCTGGTCAGCTCCAGAGGTCCTTTTCCTCTCAACACCTACACACCTCCTTTCATTTAATGGCTGTTAAAAAAGAACTTCCAAAAGTGTCTGCAGTTTGTCACGGTCTACATTTGAAGATAAATTCACAGTAAGGGAAAAAAAAAAAACACTCAAGCATAAAATATCCAGATTAATTCCTGGTCTTTGCTTTTATCTCCTGTTTTATCCTTCATCATTCACCAGAGGTCCAAATTGGTACAAATGAACTTCTGAATGTGTGACATGATCCACCTAAGAAACCTAATTGAGAAGCAGTGATTTTTCTTACTTTTTTTTTTTTCTTTTCCTTCTCAAGGCCCAATGATGTTCATGGGAGCTTGCTAAGGAACCATTTGGATTTGCCTGTTTGTGCAAAAATAATCCATGTTTCCTTGACATGTTGAGAATACAACATGCCAGAAATAACTTGCATACTTTTGGAGGTCTTTCTGCTTGTGAGAGTCCAGCATGCTACTGGCTTTATCAAGAGGCCTAAAACGCACTTGTGGAACTTGAAAAAGGCCTTTCCAATGACTAATGCAGTCCATTTGTATGGATAACTCATTAAATTAGCAGAAATGCTAAGTCTTACAAGAAGCAATTGCTCTCTTTTGCAAAACACAAAATGTGCTCATCCGGAAAAGGAAATTTCACATCTCCCAGCTAATAGTGAAATAACAGACCATCAAAAACTCCTTCCAGACTCTTCTTATTTGGACACGCTCCACATCCTTTTCCAAGCCAGCATTTTCCTGGCCAACATAAGCCTCTGGGAGATCCTATTCGCACTCACATCTCCACAGTTCCAACCCCAGCCAGGCCCAGACAGTTAAGCAGAAGCAAGCTGAGGGTGACAGCATTACCGTCACAATGTATGGCAATATGTATCAAAGAGAGTATCCTGGAGTCGTGGTCTGAAGGACTTCCATGCCCAGAGGGCTGAAAAGGTTTTATGCAGCTCTTTTTTGTTTGTAGCTTCTCTAGATCGCAGTGTTGTAACTTTTAAGGTTACACATAAGAAGAGGTTTCTGAAGACTTAGACTGTTTCCCTTGCTACCGGCTCTTTAAAGAGCTTACTTATTGCTGCAGGAAAAGGCTAGGGAAGTTGGGAATATCACAACATTTTTAATAGGAAATTTATTTTGTAGGCAGCCTGCTCTAATGTGGTTAATCTCCAAGTGAATACCAGAAAATCTAATATATTGGGAAACACATCAGAGTCTTGAGATCACATGGTCACTTGTGCTCACACGTGTTCTTCTCAGCAAAGGAATGACAGCATTTGTTAAAAGAATTTGTTGATGGACTGAGTGTAACCAATAGCACCCAAAAGATAAAAAAACATCCCAAATCCTACAGCATGCTTTCTGCTCCACACCCTTTCTGAAAGCACACATGCAGCATTGGCTCTCTGACCTGCAGCTGACTGAGGAGCTTGTGTTGCTGGGGTCATTAGGAAGGCTTTTTTTTTTTTTTTACCAACATACAAGGTATGCAGTTACTTGACAATAGCAAGTAATTTGTGTTGCTGAGGGGCACTTCTTTCAGGCTTCTTCATTTATGACATACAGACAGGACAGAGTCTATCAGAGCAGGTACCTACTCCTCAATCAAACTGATCTCCAAAGGAGAAACATCCATCAAAGAGGCAGTAATAAATAAAACCACATCCCCAGCTGGCTTCCTTTACCTTAAAGTGTTTTGCTTCTTCTCACAACTCCACCTATGAAATGATGTCAGAAACCCTCAACCACTGTTTTTCTAGAGATTGATTTAATTTTCCATTCCCACAGTCAGCGATCACCCAGCAACAGTAACCAAACCCCTGGCTAGGGCAAGAGCAAGGCCTCATCCTAGGAGGGCTGAAAGCTGCCCAAGGGACAGCCATTGTTCTCCAAAAGAAGCCCCTGCACTGAGGGCTTTCACACACCACCACCAGAAACCTCACCCCATGGGCAGGCAGCAGGGCTGGCACCCAGAGCCCAGATGTGGGGCTTGTCCTGAGGTCTTCTTAGAGAAGGACAGGGCCACTGAGCCCCATGGAAATCCTTTGCTTCTAAAAATCCCAGAGCTAGCAGAGAGCATCAGGGAATGACCTTGTCACACACACATCCTGTTCTCAAACTCAACTCCTGGGCAGCTGCTGCCGACCTCTGCCAAGAATGAGACATGGGCCTAGATGGAATTTGCCAGAAACACCAGTCCCTGGGTTTCCAGGTTTCTACAGCAGGATAAAGGGCACCTTCTGGCTGCTCTGACTTACAGCTCAAACCCACCTGTGCCTGAGAGGCTGCAGTGTCCATGAAATGGCTCAGGGCCAGCTAAATCCCATTGCATGGGAAAAGAGCAAGAGCCAGCCATGTCCTGAGTGTTGGAAGAGCTCCAGGTAAAAGCTCCAGTGCTTCATCTCTCCAGACTTGATGCTGCTCCTGGCACCCAGACTCACCCTCTGGCTACACACAACATCCCCTGAGCTCTGTATAAACTCACCAAACCCCTCCAAAGATGCAAGGGCTAGACCAATCCTCTCCCATTAATCTGCAGCAGCTTCTGTGGCTCTCTCATCTCCACTGCATGGAAAGCAGGGTATCAGAGTATCTGCACAGCAGTTAATTTACAGCCAGCTCCTGCCTCCATGATTCCATGCTCACTGCTGGGACTTGCACAGGTCTGAGCTTCATGCCTGACCCCTCTCCACACAGCAGAAGTCTTTGCTGGTATTGCTGCCCAGACATTTCTGTGGGTATAGATAGACATATATATATGTCACGGTATTTGCAGTGACATCTACTTATGTCTTTGTGCTGTGTGAGAAATGAGTAGTCTCCACTCATCTAGATTTTGGCTGAAAAGATCTTGACTTTGATTACATTCTGAGACACATTTGGTTTTAGCAGTGCAGAATGGATCCTTGAAAAACCATGAAGAAAAAGTGTTTGGGTTAAGAATGCTCTTGTGAATAAAAAAAATTGAAAGTCCTCAAGTGTTTGTTTAAAGAAAATAATTTTCATTAAAATGCTGGCACGATTTCAAACAATTTGATTTTAATTTTGAAGTGTTGAAAACGCCCTCAGATAACTTCTGTAGCATTCCAGAACCCAAAAGTGATCGTAGAAAGCACGTCACTTAGGAAATCAACTGCAGAGCTAAAATTCATTTCCTGTTTTCTAAGAAAACAAAAAAGGGCCCATGGCTCTTCAGTCTTTCTGACAAAGACTTTCTCACAAGTAGTTTTCAACCAGGCAAGCATGGTTTGACTTTTTTCCTCCAAAACAAAACAGAGTTTGCCCTTTCAGAAAGTTCCCAAGAACCACACAAGTCATACTAATACAAAGATTTTACAGGACCTTGGTACCAAGCACACTGCTTTAAGCACTGCTTGCTTGGACTTGAAAGAGGTCTAAAGTCATTGGATTATTATTATTACAAAGATGCTCAATGATACATATTTTACAGGAGTTGTGCTCAGAGTTTTGTCAAAGCAGCAGTCTGATCATTTCGTACCAGCATCTGATCTTCACTTCAGGATTTAGGTGAGACTTATGCACCAGCACTGAGTTTCTGTGTCGTCACTGTCCCCAACTTCCTGGCTTAACTGAATCCTCCAGAGACACTCAAAACCAGAAAGTTTTGCTGGTTTGGGGACAAAATTTGACTTAGTTTTCACAGAAACCCACCTATTGAGCCAAATTCTCTCAAATTCAGGTCTAGGTTTACTGAAGCTTCTCTTCACTGAAGTTGGCTGGAGTATGTACAGCTCTTTCTTCAAAGAAACCAAGTGAAGTTGGGTCTTCAGCTCCCCTCAGGGGAGTTCACAGCCCCCAGCCAGGCAGGTCTCAGTAGGTTCTTTTGCTGAGGTTTTGCAGCAGCACCACTTGTAACAGGACGTGCCTCCATCCAGTAATGAGATGTTACAGCTTGCTGCAATCACAGCTGTTGCCTCATTTGGGTTTCAAGGAAGCAGATTCCATTAAACATTCTGCTAGGAAAGCTTGTTTACATTTAAAAAGGAGGAAAAAAAATTATTAAAAAAAAAAAAAAGACAAATATGCCTCTAAGCAGGCTTTTGAATGCTCTCCTTTGTTAACTAATACAGTTAACAGGCCTGAGTATGACAACGAACTTCCCATCAATAGCCTGACTCAAAGGGAAAACATAAGTACAGACCAGCAGCTCGTGGTACATCAGCTCAGATAACAATGTGAGTGTACCCGACCGCGCGAGCTGCTGGCCCTCTGGTTCACGGAAAGGAAGAAAGTATTCAGAAGGCAAGTATTGAGACTGTTCCCCTCTGATATCCCTTCCCTCGTGATTGCTTGGTGTTAGTTGACCTTTATGTTTCTGGAGCGTTGGGATACAATGTGTTTCACCACTTCATCTTCCCTAAAGCTCGTGGTGATCTCGGAGGGAAGTGTATCCCAGCCCTCCGCTATCACTGCCATTAGGAAGGTGATAGCTTCCAAAAAAACTCACAAAATCCCAAATTCTGTTCAGTGCTGGTAGCAGCAACCTGGACATGGCACAGCAGCTCTCCTGTCCTGCACATGGCTGAGCACAGCGTGAGAGTGGCCAGTGAGGACTGGACACAAACTACATCTTGGCAACCCCCACAGTAACGCAGAACCATTTCAGACAGTCACCAGTCCCACCATGTCCAGGCCTCCTCCTGCCAAGGACGTGGCCAAGACACCAGACATCCAATATGTGCTCAGGGAGTTACAAACTCCATTATGGATAGGTAAGTTTTTGCAGACTTACAACAATCCCACTTGTGAGTCTGGACTTGGGCACTTTCTAGGTTTGCCTGAGGAACAGCACAGACACCCCATCGTGCCAAACCAGCTTTTTTCTTCTAAGGTTCATCTGACTCAAGGCCACAGCTCAATTTCTGCACTATTGCTTCGTATTTGAAGAGAAAAACATGGAGCTTTCTTTAGTATAAATCCCAATGAAAATAACTTAGCCTTCTGTTATTGTCAAGGCTGAACAACCTCCAAGAAAGCAACTTTTCTATCTCAAAGAGCCCTATAAAACTCACAGTAACAACCAATTTTTTATTTTATTTTTCCTTTTTTTTTAACTAGCAATTGCATGCCTTGATGCTTACCCTGGGATACCAAAAAGTGGCTTTTATTTTGTGGAAGAGAGTTTTTGACAAATTAGGCCATTTTAGGTATTGATAAAAGGCACATAAAATTTTATATCCACAAAATGCCTATTTAGAAAATGCAGCCAACAATTTTTATTTTTTAATCTCACTATCATTCTCTAGATTTAGTATCTATCCCATTTTTTCAGTTCCCCACAGTAGCTTTCACTGGGTTTACCATAATCTTCACATTATTAACCTACACTCACTCTTCATCAGCATATTTACTTGGAGGCAGCTAAGAAATTACAGATAAGTTAGTTCATTGTTGAATCAGTTGATATAATATATTCATTGTGTTAATCCTGATATATGTGGTCTGGGGAGAGGATAGAGAGGACTGTTTTGTAGTTTTTTGTGGGTTTGGTAGTTTTTTTCTCTGCTCTGCCTAGCACATGTGGTAAGGCAACAGCAATAAATCAGAACAAAGGAAATGAAGTACTAGGGCTTTAGGGAACATGTGTTTTAGAAGAAAAACTTGGCTCACCTCTAAAGCAGTATTGCCTTATAACGGATGTTTGAAATTCAGATGTAGAAAAAGACGGACAAAATTATATAAATACAAGTGACTTACGGGTCTGTGCTGCTTTCAAACAGCACTGCAAGCCAGTCCATCTTCCCAGCTCCTCCCGGACCTGGCCAGGCAGACCCCATGCTCCAAACCAGCAAGAGTACAGCAGTGGCATCAGCACAGCTCACCCCTAAGCAATACTGCAACACGTTAGCTGCAGACAAAGGATTAAAGAATTAAAACCAACCCAGGCAACTGACATATTGTTTTCCAGGATCTCTCCAGCTGCTGTTGACAGACCTATTGCAAACCAATGTCAGCTAGGAACATGCTACTGGAGGAGTCATTTTCCATCCCTGTAATCTGTACAACCCTCATGTTATGGCAGCAGTTTCACACAGCAAGTTCCACACACTGCTGAGACTCTGTTCCCAGTCTTGAACAGGCAGGAATTGCTCAACAGAAGTAATAACTACTTTGAAGGAGATTTCCCAACATACTTAGGAGCCTAGAAATGAAGAGAGGTGCCTGGTGAGGTTTTCCAAGGCCTCAAGGTGGGTCAGGTTCTTCAGACTCAACCCCTGAAATGGGTATTTTCCTCCTCTCTCCCTCCAATCTCCCGAAGAACTTAATGCATTAGATTTGCATGACAAGGTGCTGGGGGGGGGGGGGGGGGCAGCAGGGGTGGCTTCTGTGTGAAGCTGCTGGAAGCTTCCCCCCATGTCCAACAGAGCCAATGTCAGCTGGCTCCAAGACGGACCTGCCACTGGCCAAGGCTGAGCCCATCAGGGATGGTAGTAACACCTCTGGAATAACATATTTAAGAAGGAAAGAAAAAAAGTTATTGTGCAGAAGTAATTGCAGCCAGAGAAGAGAGGAGTGAGAATATGTGAGAGGAACAACTCTGCAGACACAAAGGTCAGTGGAGAGGGAGGGGGAGGAGGTGCTCCAGGCACTGGAGTTGAGATTCCCCTGCAGCCTGGTGGTGCAGATCATGGTGAGGCAGCTGTGTCCCTACATCCCATGGAGGACCACAGAGGTGCAGAGACCCACCTGCAGCCCATGGAGGAGTCCCACATTGGAGCGGTGGATGCCCAAGAGACAGCTGTGACCCTGTGGGAAGCCCATCCTGGAACAGACTTCTTGCAGGACTTGCAGATCCAAGGAGAGAGAAGCCCACACTGGAGCAGGTTTCATGGTAGGACCCCATGACTCCATGGGGGACCCACACTGGAGCAGCCTGTTCCTGAAGGACTGACCATGTGGAGGGGACCAACACTGGAGCAGTTAGCAAAGAACTGTAGCCCATGGGAAGGACTCATGGAGAATTTTGTGGAGGGCTATGTCCTGTGGGAGAGACCCCACACTGGAGCAGTGGAAGGATTCCTCTCCCTGAGGAGGAAGCAGCAGCAGAAACATCATGTGATGAATTGACCGTAACCTCTATTCCCCATCTCCCTGTGCTGCTGTGGCAGGGAGGAGGTAGAAAATCAGGAAGGAGGGAGGGTGGGGGGAAGGTGTTTTTTAAGATTTGTTTCACTTCTCATTATCTGATTTTGATTAGTAATAAATTCAAGTAATTTCCCTAAATCAAGTCGGTTTTGCCCATGAAAGTAATCAGTGAGAGATCTCTCTGTGTCCTTGTCTCAACTCATGAGCCTTTTCTTGTATTTCCTCACCCCTGTCCAGTTGCAGAGGGGAGTGATAAAGTGGCTTTATCACAGTGGTGGGTACCTGGCATCCAGCCAGGGTCAAACCACCACACTTTTGAAAGGCCACTAATTGCCTCTCTGCATGTTTGGGCACCTAAATACCTCAGCAGAGAATTTTACATTCTGTGTCACTTCCCCTCCCCCTGCAGGCTGCCCATGGGACTTCCAGCCAGGCTGGTGGCCAAGGGTCAGCACTGGACTGACCAGTGCTAAGGGCAGTAAAGCAATCTCAGCTGCTGGCAGAACACAAGAAATCCCAAGAGGATGAAAGGGCTCCTGTTTGTCTGTCCTGTGCCTATTAACTTTTTAGGGTAAATGGTCTCTATTTCACTTAATGCAATAGCTTTGCTGCCAGTCTTCTGCCCATGCACTTTAGGCCAAGTAGTCTAACATTAAATGTCTCCTATATACACTTTGCTTGTGATGTTCATCTGCCTTTCCAAATTTTCCTCTTTATTCACGCTTTATCCATTCCAAGTTTAAGTAAAAACAAAGCCCAGATTCCAAGAACTGAGCAGCGACCAAGGTGGGGGCTGTGAAACGGAATAGAGGAAGGTGCTATAAATGGAATCGGGGAAGCATGGCTTGGGATGATTAATGAGCTTACATCTGTGACAAGCCTGTGCTATAAACAGCAGGTAGAGAAGCAAAGCCAGCACCAGAAAGTGCTCAGGAGCAAAGAAGGTGGAGCTGTGCCTCTCTATCACAAGTGGTCTGGCTGCTCAGTGGATGCTGGTTGGGATCAGTTCCTCCTCAGTGACTGGGATGCACAACAGGATACATAAGACTGCTAGGGAACAGCATAAATCCTTTTGGAAACCTGGGAGAAGAGAGGGATTAAAAAAAAAAAACAATTCCCTTTACTAGCAGCAAAACAGTAAAGTCCTGACTAAAGGTGCAGCAAGAAAGTACCTGTGCTTTTCCTCTCCTTCCCTGGGATTTTTCTCTATCAGTGGATATACTTGGTGCCCACACTGGGAGCAGCCCTAGTGGAAGAGGCATCATGGCACATGAAGGCAGGTGACAGGCTCAGCCCATGGTGAGAGAGTGCTCCTCAGGGCAGGCTGCCCCACTCTTGCAGGGTGGCAAGGGGGGAAAGTCATTCCAGTCACAGCACTTCTCCCCATCTGCCACCTTGGAAAGCCTACCAGGAAACACTGGGACACACAACAAAACGGGAGCCTGCAGACACCTGCACTCTGCAATCAAATCAGCCTCCCACGGCTGTAGCTGCCACCGCCAGCAGTCCTCAAACCAGGCCGGGATTTTACCAGAAGTGGCCATTTACCACCTAGTTTTGGAAGTGTGCACCAAGGAATCTATTCATATCCTGCAGCAACCAGCTCTGGGAGCAGATAGAATGGATACCTGTCTTGTGGGAAGTACCTGGGAAAGGCACAACCATGAGGCACCCCCCTGCAAGCTGCAGGCTCCTCTGGGTCACACAGCAAACTGAAAACACAGCAAACTGGGTCACACGGCAAACTCCTTCAGTGAGAAACTGCACTGGGGTAGAAAGAAAAGGACTTTGGGAAGATGAATGGACTAATGATAAGGGAAGACACAGTGCAATTTGGAGCAGATGTCCTGCAGTGTTCAATAGGATCCCAGCACTGCCATTCCTAGGGATAAATGTGCAAATGAAGCCTCTGAAACCCTCTTGCTTGTTTAAAAACAGAAAAACCCAAGCAAACAAAAAATTGCAATGGATTTTGGGTTCTTTATTCATGGTTTTCTGGTTTGTGAACCTGTGGAGTATATTCAGCTCTCAGTTTCAATCTTTCCTCCATCATTACAAAACAAAAAAAAATACCCTATGCTTTTTAATAATACATTGTAGTGAAAACTTAAATTTCCTCCTTATTCTCAGATGGATTCATGATCCATCCCTCTGAGGAAAGCTCAGAGTATTGTCAGTTCGTGAGAAAATGGAGAATAGGCAAAATTGGAATTTCAGAGGTAGATAATTATGGATAAACTCAATGCAGATTATTTTTTTTAAATTAAACTAGCCAAGACTGATCTATTGTTAAAACAGGACATCAATTTTAAACAGTGAAAAAAAGCTGTATAAACTAAGCCATTCAGAGTCTTTAAAGAAAACTACTGGGTTACTCAAACACAGCATGCTCTATGAATAGCTCCAGCCCACTCCAGCTTGATTTTCTCTGTTTTAATGTAGAAAAAGTTTCTACTGCTTGTAGCAATCAGCACCAAATTATACATCAGCGAGGCCCTCCAAGACAGCAAATGCCCCTGCTTGCTGCTGAAAGGAAAACACGCTCCAGGGAACACTTCCAGGAGACTGCTTCATGACAGAGATGCGTGTGCTTGTCCATAGACTCGGGCACTGGGAAGCCTGCAGCAGGAATGCCCCAGCTGCTGTGCTTGCTCGGGATCGCTGTGTGGTAACCAAACACTCTGAAGTTTGCATCAGGAAACACACACATGAGAAAGCTGGAAAAATTGCACTCCACGTGACACATGCATTTCTCATGTGGCAATGATACCTGTATCCAGAAAACAGCCACAGCTGTGTCTCCTGCCAAGCACCAGAGCCCTGATGTGAGCGTAGCTAGGGACCACCTCACCCCTGGGGTGCTGTTGGGGGAAATATCCACAGCCCCACCCAGCATGATCCCAAATACACAAGTATCACAAGTTCTCTTCCTTCTGTCATACTCTGGCCATAGTGCCCAGTCTCCTGCCCCACAGCTGAAGACTGGGGCAAGGTTATCTCCAGAAATTCAGCTAAACTCACTTTCTGCCTGCTCAGCACTTTTTGCAGGCGCGCAGAGCAGATGCAGTGGGGGTCAGGATCTGGCCCCCCACCTGCATAGTTTTAAAGATTATCATTCAGTAGAAGGTATTGTGAGGAAGAAAAAATGCCAAGCCCAGAGCCTGAGTTATTTCCCTGAGCCTGAATGATATCAAACATAATATTTTATTTGGCTGGTTATAGAAAACATGTGGCAAAGCCTTCATTTTTTTGGAAGGTTTGTCCTGCGGCACAAAAAGAAAAGAAAAATAACTGAACTTTTATTCTGCCTGTCTCTGCAGTGCACATCCCTGCACCCACACAGGCTGCTCTCACCTGAATTTTAAGTTCTGGAGACATACAATAACTCTACTTACTCTGCAGAAATATCAACAAGGTCACAATTAAAGACTAACATCAAGATTTACAGAGTGGGTGCAAATAGGAAAGTGTCCCCACAAAAAGTTTATACTCACAGCAAAATGGGAAGGTTCAAGATGATCAATTATTAAAACGGACATGAAAAGTAGAGAGTTCAGCATCCTGATGTGTTCAGCAGCAGCAAGAAAAATTGTTCAGTGCTCAAGTGTAGAGCAAGCAGAGCACTTACCTGAGGACAAGGCTGAGAGAGTAGAGTACAGGACCATTTTGGGGGGAAAAAAATTGTATTCAAAGTTCCAGCTCCAATTCTGACCTAACATCAGGTCCCAAATATGGCCTTTCCCCTGTAAAAAACAAAACAAAACAAAAAACTAAATAAATCCAACACAAAGGGAACAATTACTCATTTAGCTGCTAGAAAGCATTCATCTGTCAGTGAATTCCATCAGCACTTGCAGGGGAGTCAAGAGATTAGAGACATTATAATGCACAGGAGGAGCACAGCAAGAGAGTTGTTTGCTGTCTTCCCCATCCTGTTGGCTGTTCCTGATGTACCCAACCCTCTCCTAAACCTTTCTTAAGGATGTTGTACAAAGTGAAGGGTCCTCTTCCAAGCAGAGCTAGGAGGCCTTTAAGCTGCCAGCCAGCTGGGTGAGTGCTAGGCTGCTGTAGCCACAGGAGGAGAGGCTCAGGCTCCCACCCTTCGCCCCAGGAAGGCTGATGCTGTGCCAGAGCAGACAAAGGGTGCACACACATCTTCTCTGTACTGGATCAGCTCCAGGGATGGTTATTTCCAGCTGTAGGGCTGTATCAAGCACAGTAGGAGATAACCTTTCCAACCTTTCCATCTGTTCCTGTAGACCGATTAATAAAGATATTTCTAAACATGTGAAAGGAGGTAGAGGGTTATGATGGTTGGGACAGCGATAGCTATTGCCCTACTTCCTTCATCAGGGGTAAATCCCTTAGCTATTCCCTAACACCTCTCCTCAACTGAAGCACCCCAGGACCTATAACTCACCTCCTCCTTTTCCCCTACTGACTGACCAGCTGCCCCAAGCCCCCTTTGCCCATCAGTAAGGGGCAAGCCCTCTATTTGAGACACCTGTGCTCTGCAGTCAGCACAGCACATTTTTAGTGGGTTTGCTAATCAGGCCACCAGTAATGCCCCCTGAGCTGGGTGCCTGTGACTCAGCTGCAGGCCCGCTGCCACTCAGCAGCTGGCACTTGGCACAGCAGCTGTGAGTGACTCAGGCTAGCAGGAGCCTTTGGAGATGCCTTCCCCTGATTTATATCTGCAAGGGATCCTTTGTGTTCAGACCCTATTGTTGGCGTGCCAGCCTCACTGGAAAAATCTGGAGTTAATAAACTCCACTTTCCGATCACAGCAGCTCTTTCCAGGGCACAGCTTTGCAGAGCTGGTAATGGTTGATCCTGCACCATCAGCCAGCACAGCAGCTGATGCCTTTTACCTTGGAAAACCCTGGTGATTGCACACATGAACAACTCCAGGGAAAGCCCAGGTTCAGAGTGCCTGGTAGTCTGCCTCCCTCTTGTTCCACCTCCTTATCCCTTTCAGTGTGGAATTTGGAGCCCGTGGTCCTGCAGCCCTACCCCTAACTGTGAGAAGCCTCTTGGCACCAGCTCCCCCTGAGAAAAGAGGAAATTTAAAAAAAAAAAAAAAGACAAAAGATGGATGTGACCCGATGTCACAAACCCTTGAATCCCAGGGAATCTGAAAAATGTTACCTCAGCTCTAGTAGCAGAAACGTTACTGTCCTGGGCAGCATCTTCCCACAGGGAAGCAGGTCCCACTGGGAGAGCTGGTCATCCATGCCAACTCTGGCCGCTGTGAGGAACGTGGCATCTTGTTTTGTACCTGCAAGGTGGAGCAATTCTTTTCCTTGCATTTCCTGAAAGAAAGCAAAAGGGAAGGTGGGTTTTGACCTCCAGACACATTTTGTAAAGCCCCACTGGTGACACGGTGCTGTCTTTCATGCAGTGCTTGCTCCTACGGCCACCGGAGCAGCTGGGACTTTTCTTGCAACATTCCTGGGCTCACAGCAGCACTGTCCTGCTTTGCTCCAGAGCAAGGTGCATTGGAAGCTGCTCAAGGAAGGGCTGTTATTTTGCATAGCAGTGAGTTCATTTATGGAGCTGTGTAAATAAAATGACCATCTCTGCCACCTGGGCTACACTCTGCTGAACAGCTGCTGAACCTCTCTCCAGAACAGTGACATTTTACAGTGGGTGAAGTGACTCACTGTGGCACTGTAGCCTTTCTGGCACAGCAAATTTGTGGCTCGTTTGTGGATTATCAGCCAAAAAGGGTGGAAGCACTTTGCACTTTTCAGCATCCTCATGGGACAGGTACGCCTCGGAGCTGGCTACATTCCAACAGAGTGATTCACTTAGTTTAAGCCATATTTTTGGCTTGTATAAGCTGGATCAACATCACTGGAGGGACACCAGTTTACATCAGCCTGAGAACGCGGCTCCGTATTTTCATGGAAAGAAGCTCAGTTCTGGAAGGTTTTGAGCAGGTTCTTGGTGCTGCAGGCTGGATGCCCCAGCGGACAACGAGCGGAAGCAGTGGGATGTGGGGAAATTGGTTTGCTTTGTGTTACTCTGGGGAAGAAATGAGGCAGTACTAGTCACAGTGAATGACAAGAGGAAACATCCAGCAAACAAAATAAAACACTTCAGGACTAAAACTGGGACCTGGGGCTAGAGAAGAGCTGCAACAGGCCCTAGAGAGCCCCTGATGCAGGCAGTCAGGACAGCAGAATCAGACTGTGATACTCATTGCCTCCACTGGACAGACACACAATGCCAACAGCTTTTCAAACCAAGAACTGACAGGATTGAAGCACTTCCATTCAGACACTCAGAGGAAAATGGGCAAACACAGGATGGCCATATGTGACTATAGCTAACACTTCAATGCTGGTCCTGTGCAGTGCTGAACACTTGAGGTGAAGGGATGTGTGCAGCCCCCATCCTGTTCATGCCATACTAAAAGGCTAAGGAGGGCTTACAGCCATCCTCTTTCTCCAGCCCTTTGTGGAGATTTGCTTCTGAGCAAATCCCTCTTCCAAAAACTGACCAACAGCTCAGATACAATGTACACATGTTAAGAAGCTTGGAAACTGGTGTAAGAATTAGGCAGAGCCACAGAGCAATGTGATGTGTTAAATATTGTGGTTGTCTACTGAAACATTCACACAGAGATAGCAGCACTCTTTGCAAAACAAAGTTGAGCATAAGTAACCCCATCTTTTATAAGGAAAATGCAAGCCACAGAGATTAAAGGCTGCTGCTGTTACAATAAAACTAAAACCTGCAAATACCACAGGCACCCTAAGCAAGATTTTGGCAGAATTTGGGCACCTTGGTTGAAAACTGCAATCTGGGAGCTCCATATTCCCATTCTCCTGCTGCCTAGCCCTGGAGGTGCCTGAACTTGCCCACAGTCTCCCTAGGCAGCTGTTAACCAGAGCTGCTCCCACCCAAACACCTCCACTCCAGCTCTCATGTGAGTGCTGCCATGGTCTGCAGTGCTGTCCCCATCCCCACCAGGAACCATCCTGGGAGCTGCAGTGGGAGCACACTGGGACACAGCCTGTGGGTGAAAGACGATGATGAGCACCACAGCCCCCCAAGCAATGCCTCCTGCTGCAGCAGCACTGGAATGAGCTCTCCCTGGGAACAGCCACGTGGTGCCCCATGCGGCTCCCATCCTCTCTGCTACCCACCCTGTGGGGCACGAGGAGCTCCCCAACAGCCCCCCCGCTCCCCAGCCATGAGTATACACAGCAAGAACTGCATTTCCCTCCTTCACAGATGCTTTGCAGTGTCATGGTGTCCTGGAACTCTGGCCATTGCCCAGCCTCCTCCATACCCTGCAAAGACACCAGGACAACACAGGCTGGGGTTGGTTCTCTCTTTTGTCACTTTTCCAGCATAACCAAGGCTTGAGGCAGAGCTTTGTTTCAGAAATTGCACGCCCATTTCTCCTCTTGTCCTGTGAACAGGGTGGTTTCAAACAACACATAGTAAGTGCCTGTGGTAAGTAACTGCTGAAGCCCAGCTCCCCCCAGGCTGTCAGCCTCTGCAGTTTTCCCAAACACAATCAACAACCTGGCCTACGGCTTATTTACCCACTTCCAAAATCTTAATCTGACAACTAATGACGCATTAATCACTGTCAGACCATGATCTTTGTTTCTGCTTCTCTGCAGGCATCTGTCAGAATCACAAAAGATTAATTATTGCACTAGCCTGGGTAAAGAAACTCAGCCCCTCTGCAGAAATACTCCTCAGATGCTTTGTGACCCCTTCAGCAACTACTCACCAGAACACTCTTTCACTCAACACTCATATTTCTAGTTCTGGGTATCCGCTCTCTCTTGCCCAAGCACCAGTCATTTTTCAGCCTCACAAGAAGCACTGAAAGAGAGGATCACCAAAATCCCTCCCTGCAGCACTGTCCTATTTTGGGCACCATGGTTTCCAGCTCATTTAACCACATTGAGAAGGTGCCTACTCTCTCCTTCTGATACACTTTTTATATGGTTCACTTCTAACCTTCCATCCACACAGCACTCTAGGTCATGCAGTATTCAGAAGTATGAAACATCCTGTTCAAAATTAAGCGACCCTGCCTCCAAAGCCTGTGGGATGATGACACAGGAGCAATCTTTGGGAGGCATCCAAGTTCCACAGCAGCAGATGAACCAGCTGCATCGCTTCTTCGAAAGAGCCCCGACAGACTGAAATATGCTCTTCCTTTACATCTCAAGGGCCTGGACCCAGCTGTCCACAGGAACTGACACTGCCAGGAGATGGAGGGACATCAAGGGTTCATCTGCACATGGAAGCTGTAAGGGTTTATGAACACGGGTGCAGCATGAAGTGCCTCTGGAGCCAGTACAGTTTGAACCATAGTAAAGAGTCACAGCTGTTTCCAAAGGCAAAAGGAAATAAGCTATATCTATCTAAAATAAATTTTAAAAATGATAGCTTTTCCTCAAATGCAAACTACTTCCATAAACAGGGGTGTTGGACCTGCATGTCCTGAGCGTTCTCTGCAGTAGCAGCCAGGAAAGTCCATTTGACCACCCTCCACTGCTGAGCACTGCCTAAGGAAGTCTCTTTTCCCCTCCCGTGAGCGTTTCTGTGTATGATTCAGCAGCTTTCTACAAAAAGCAATTTGGAAGATGGATGAGTTCACTAAGCCAGAGCGGAGAAACACAAGAGAGCATCTCTCTGGGTGCATGGGAGACATTTCAGCAGGTGCTTGGATCACACAGTGCTCTCTCTGTTTCTTAAACACATCCCAGGTGCCAGAGTTGCTTCAGTTCTTGTTTTCCTCTCTCTAGTAAAGGCCTGAGAAGCAGGAATAGACAAAACCAAGCAGTAAACAAAATCAAGTATTTGTTTATGCCACAGTAGCTTCATTCTAATAATCTAGGAGTGTGTAGGCTTTGCAGAAGGAAAATGCTTGGCACAACCAACACAACGTCATCATGCTGCCACTGACAGAGCAGATGGTGAAAGTGTAACCTGACATAAGAGTACCTTTTTCTGTTGGGAGATTTAGCTTATAGCTCCTTCCCAGAGACAAATCTAAAGCAGGAAGATTTCTGTCTCCTAAAACTGAAATTCTCTGAGTGTTACACTGCTGAAGATTTAAATGTTTAGTTTATACTTGAAAATTTCCTCCTGTAAAGAAACTCCAGAAGTTCCTATAATCCCAGCATTGCAGTGGAACCCTGTCCACTGGCCTTCAAACATGGCTCCAGCCAGAGCTTCCTGGCCTGCTGTGCTGCTCACGAACCTCCGAGAACACAGCTGAGTCTTCTTAGAGCTTCACTTCTCATATATTTATGAATTTTAATGGATTCAAGTGGTTCCAGCTGCCAGCTAACACTGCAGAAAGGACAGAGCCAGACCAACCCACACTTCTCCCTCCGCACTGGCAAGTCTATTTGTGGCCCTGCACAGTGCCAGAAATAAACTGCTTTCCTCGGAGAGACCCACTGGCAAGCACTGGGCTCTCTACAGAGGGCACAGCAGCCTCAAAGATACTCCTTTGAACTCTGGTTTCAAAGTGCTCACCAAGGGGGTTTAGAAGGCCAGAAGTGCTCCTGGAGTTGTGGTAAGGTGGGAAGAGAAGGGAGGTAAAAATAAGATTTGTCTCCGCTCCACATCCTTGGAAAGAAGTCCTTTGGGGTGTGCCTGCTCCCTTTCATCTCATTTCTTCTAGCTGGAAGATCCCAGCCTCCCAACTGCAGTGCTGAGTATATCTTAAATGATTCATTAATGTTTGCATACAAATGCCAGATGCTTTCTTTTTTAAATAAATAAACAAACATAAACCTCAAACACCCTCTGAGAGATGGAACATTTTTCCTATAGTGAAGGCCACAGTGGTTGCTTGTGCAGGACAGTGGAAGAAGGTTCCCCACACCCCCAAAATTCTACCCTATAAATATTTCTCCCCCCTTCCTCAACCCTTCCCCTGCCACACAGGTCATCCTGACTCTGGGGAGGGGTGGAAGTGCTGAGAAATGTCAGAGCTGCTTATTTCCCCATACAGCACTTAGGGGGAGGGGACTTTGGAGGATGAGAGCTGAACATAACTGTTGGGCTCAATGGGAAATTAAGCCCTGTGATTTCCCAGTTCTGGCAGTCTTCAACCTTGCTACACAGTTCCCATCTTCTTTACACCATGAAAATGGCATTGTTACACAAGGGATACCTGAGATAAACAGCGGCTGTGCAGAAACGGGCAATGACAGAGTTTGGAGTCAAAGAGCTCAGATTCAAAATTGCAGATTCAAAATTGCAGGGAAGGTGATAGCAGTGAGAATTGGTCTCTCCCTGTTTGCTCCATAAGCTTTACTCCCAT